AATAATTTGTAAAATGAGTCTCTAAGAAGGCTACCATTATCATACCTATTTTTGGAATTAATTCCTTTAAATTCTCCTCGCTTAGGTTTACCGTAATATCGAGATCTATCTCGTTTTCTAAAACAAAAATAATATAGCTGAATTGGAGGCTATAGCCTTTCTGCTGTTTATGTGCTATTGTCTATTACCTGTCGTATGCTATCCATTTTACATTACAGTATACCTATCCATTTTACACTAAATTTTTACGATTATGCCTAGTTAATTACTTTAAATTAATGAAATATTATTTACTTACCCAAAAATGTGTCTAGTAAACATTCTAAGCCCCAATTTTTAAGTTTCTTCTCCATTATTTTTTATTAAAAAAGGAAAAAACGAACACACGCTACCACAATAGAACAGAGGACAGAACTGAACACAGAAACTGCGTCTTTTCTTTTAGCGAAGCGGTCTTAGAGGGTGGACGGTATTTACTTAAGCGAAGAATTAGGTATTTGTTTTAATAATAGCTATACTTAAATACAGTAGGTATAGTGTATTCTTTGTTCTAGAGGTCTTATACTTAAATTGAAGTATAAGCGTTCTTGTATTAAATATACATATATTTAAATAAAGTATACCGAAATTTCATACAAATATACAGAATACTTAAAATAAGTGGTAATATTCCGCTTTGAGTAAAAGACTAGAGCTCTTTCATCTAAGCATTATTGTATATTTGATTTAAGTATACCAATTTTCTTTAAAATAATATACCTTTAAACTCAATCCAAGAATACTCATCTCAAATCAAGTAACAGTTTTTCTTAAAAATTAAGTATATCCCATTACTTAGTTTAAATGTACGCTAATCTCATAGAAATAATAAATATACTTAAATCAAGTTCCTAACATGAAGTATAGAACTATTCTTAAACCTAGTAAGGGATTTTTTTCCGTGCAATTTCTGCAAAACGATCTCACTTTGCTTTTACAAAATTTGTGAATTGACGTAAATACTATGTGGTTTCATCAAGACGGTGCCCCAGCACACAATAGCAATATCGTTATGAATCATCTAAATGGCGTTTTCAGGAAAAGTGATCAGTACTTAGATGGCCAGCAAGGTCCCCTGACTTTTATTTATGGGGCGGCTTACAAAAAGAAGTCTACAAGGAACCAATAGACGACATGGCTGACCTGTACAACAAAATATATGTTACTATAGCCGCTATTAATCAAAATACTTTATTGAAAGTTTGTAGAACCGAATTATTATATCGATTTGATATGTGTGTATAAAAACGGCAATAATTTTGAACACCTCGTTCGACCTTATTAGTTAGTTTTTGGTATTGTTCTAATTTTCTTTAATAATTTTTTATAATTTCTCACCACTCTTTCATAAAATTTAAAACATCCTTTAATTTTATTTTATTATGTTTTAATGTTTTGTTTTGTTTTTAAACAGCAAAAAATTTAGCGTATTAATAATTTATGGATTTGTTTCTTAATGATTTTTGTTTTCCAAATGGTTTTATTTGTATTTCTCGAAAACGAAGGAAGATATGAAAACAATTTAACAGACAAAAAAGGATATTTTTAGTTGCTTAGTCCGAATAAAAATATAAAAATTACCAAAAAGTCAGTGGCGTATTATTTTTTGCCAATATTATTTGTTAAGGGGCCCCCTGAGGCGTCACTGGACGTAATAATTTTAATCTAGTTAGCGCTACACTAGCGTTTTATCACTATAATTATGATTACCAGAATTATATGATCATCTGCTAAAGCATATTAAAAATATTTATAATTAAAATACTCCTTAAAATTATTTAAAAAAAAACTTAACCCCAAATATCTCCGTTCATGTCGAATTTATCAAAAATTTGTATGGGACATAATTTGATCAAAAATTAATTTAAAAGTAGCTGCCATCGAAAAAAATTTTTGCACAGTGGCGCCACCTACATCTTGTATTATTCAAAAACATTTTTCACACAGTTGTGAAGCCAATCATAGAGGCTAAAAACTGGCGTTTACAGAATTTAAATGTCACTTTTAGTTTTCGAAATAATTGGCCTGGGAGTTTTTATTGAAACACCCTGTATATATTAGGGTGTTTCAAAAAAAATTAAAATATATTTTTTTTCTAATGGTGTTGGAAAATTAATAGTACATTAAAAAACAAAAATTTTGGTGCATATTTGAGCCCATAATATTAATATTAAGGTTTGCCTCAATTCATTTGTTGTTTTTCCATTTCAATAACACGGGAATTTTTATTTTTTAAATTTTGAATTCTTATATCTTTGGAATGATTTGTTTTCGCAACACCCAAGCGAGAGGAGTTATAGACAATTTCACTCTCTACAAAAAACATCTGAAGGTCAAAGTTCTTCAGGTCAACCGTTTCAAAGATATCAGCGATCAAAAATAACACTAATAAAAAATTTCAAATATTTTCAAATAAAATACAAAAAAATATCATATGCCATATTTATATTAGTTTTTATGTAAAATCACTTTAATTCTGTTAACCTGAGACTGTAAACTTTTTTATGTGTTTTATAATTTACTATTAATTTTCCAACACCATTAGAAAAAAAATAATTTTAGTTTTTTTTGAAACACCCTAATATATATCAGATATGACTTACAGTTCCTTAAAATAAAATGTCGCCCCTGAATATTAATACTTATATAATATATTACCAATTGATATCTTAAAGAGATAGCTCCAAAGGAAAAACCAATGGGACATTTTTTGATAAATTTGTACATATTACTTTTATTTTTTATATGCGCTTTGAAATCTTAAAGAGATAGTCCCAAACATAGACAAAGGACAAACCAATGGGACAATTTTTGATAAATGCGCTTTGAAAAAAATAAAAAATGTTTGTGCCTATTCTTTTTTTATTTTTTTTTTGAAATTAATTTAATATACTTAAACATAAAATAATATTATGTTTTATTATTGGTTTGTTTAAATTACTTTTTTTTTAATAAAACACATTATTCAAACTAATGTTATTTGCTTTTGTTATAACAAAAGCAAATGGACAGCAAACAATATGTTGATTTTAGGATACTTTTAATTGTTGGTTATAGAACCAATATAAATTAACCTGCAGGTTTATTTAAACCATTTGGTTATTTTATTGTGTTTAATTTAACTACTTTATTTACCCATCTATAATTTATAACACTTGGTTTAAATTCGGTTAATGTAACACATTATAGTTAATACTTACCAAAATAAGTTAAGTTAAACTAACTTGTTATTTTTAAAATAACTAATCTAAAAAAAAATCCCGCCGATCTTACGTTCTGATTTTAGTTGCCGCCCTGCTTTATTTTTATAAAACGCATCTGTTCTGTGATTAAGATGCTTACGAAATTAATTAAATGATAGGGGAATGTTAAGTTTTGTAGATAAATAATATAGTACCTAACTTGAAGAAAGTCTACATTTTTTAAAATTATCACTTTTTTAACCAGTTTAGTAATTAAGGTTAATATTAGAAGTTAACATATGTTAACGTTATGTAACTTCTAAAATAACGTACTTTTTAACTTATAGGTAAATTTACTCCTAAAATAAAGTTTAAATTGACCATAGTTAAACCAAATATTTAACTAGTTAGTAATAGGTATTACTAATAATTAGTTAAATTATACTACAAAATAACCTTTGAATTTACCTTAAGGTTATAAAAACAGGTTGGTAAATTTAAAGGGTTATTTTTTAGTTTATAGTAACCTTAAAAAAATGTTAATGGTTGAATACAACTAATTGGTTAAAAAACAAGTTAAAAAAACGTTATTTTTTAATGTAATTTTGGTTAATTTACTTAAAATGCTAGTTATTTAACCAGTTGTTCAACTTGGGATGGTAATAGTCGCAAAGCGAAGATTGAACCAAGAAGTATTCCCAGGTATACACCCATGTAAACGAACGTTTACCAGTTGACATCAAAGACTGTGTAAAACTGTAGTAGTTGCCGCTAATCCTGGGACAAGCACTAGAAGAATTGCTATAAGAGGACATTCCAAAAAATACAGTTGGAAAATAATGCACGAACAACTGCTATATCCCTATCAATTTTAGAGAGTACAAGCTTTAAATCCTCAAGATCTTCCAAACGGTTCTCTTCATGACTGTTCCAAGATCGAGAATTTAACAAAATTCCGCCTATGAATATTTACCAAAAATGATTTTTATTAAAAATGTTCAAAAGAATCAAAATTTCAAATTAACCACAGACAATAAAAATAATTTGTCTCATATTCTGGGGGTTTGGAATAAAGCAAATCTTTTATTTAGAATAAAATTTCCTGAGAAATCTAAATTTGTTTGTCCTCTTTGTAACATACTGTATGTAAGTCCGAAAATTTTACTTTCGACTTTCTCCTTTACATATTTTTTTGTAAATAGTTAATTTTGTACATTTTAGAAACAAAAACAGTTCTAATCGTGTAAGCGCAAATCATATTTAATAAATTAACACCCAACTACATTCTCCAACAAATATTCGTAGCGGATTCCGTTAGTCAGCAGGACCTCCCGCAGGAGCAGCGCCGCATCAAATAACACGTATAAAATCCTGCCATGGCAGGAAATTCACGACACATGTGGCACATGCGCGCTAAGGCTTGCGGCCGAAAAACCGCGACTATCGTCTGAACCCTTTCGACGCATGGAGAAGTTGTATCGGGGGGTCTTCGTTTAACAGCAAGCCCTGCCCGTTTTGACCACAAACAGGAGTTTCTCTTTTCATTGCGAGCTCAATGTTTTTCCTCTCTGTCTGCAGCGAACATTTATCCCTATTTTAGGCCAGCAGATAACCCTTTCCTTATCAGGACTACAATTTGCACGCGACGTGCCCCAAGAGTCCTCTCTCCTTCTACACAGTTATTTTTAGACGAAACGTATGGTGAGAGCCGAGCTACACAGTCACTTACTGAGTGTTAGTTGTATTTTATCTCCGAAACCAAACCTATCTGCCTCAACCCGCCAAAGTACATGCATTCAGTGTAACGAAAAGCTTCGACACATCCTAAACACCGCATGAGAATCGTCACGCACGTGCTCTATAAAAAACGCATGTACGTGTGAAAGAGTGTGCTCCCCCCACCACCGCGATTTTTCCAAACTCGACTTTTCATTCATTCATCGCGAAAAAATCAGTTGACATTACGTCATACGTGGTTGCCAGGTAACCGGCAAACCGCGACGTGCATTTTTTCCGCAGACGGTTTTTGTTTTGGTTTTCGTGCCGGCTTAAGCAACTCGCGATTAAGTGGCGGTTAAAGCTTTGTGGAACTTAATTATCAAAGTGACGGCGGAATCTTGAAGGTAAGGTGTTTTTGTTGCCAAGTTGGTTTTAAAATAATACAGTTAATATCCAAAAATTGTCATTCAGTTCATCGCAGTTTTGAACAAATTCATTTAAGTTATATTAATCTATTAAATCACTTTGAAATTTCATCAAAACTGAACCTACAATTTTTCAAAACTTGTTATCGTTTCAGGATTTCTAAATTTAAGAATTTTTAAAGGTATTTGCAACGATATGCTCTCTAAAAATAATATAGTCAAAAATGACTAATTGTCATAAGGAAAAAGCAGCCACCAATAATTCTCGTCAATAGCAATTTGAATTCCAAACATTTAGCAGTCAATTTCAATGTAAAATTGTCCACTGAATCAGAAAATGTCTTTAAAAGTTAGAAAAGTAGAACAGAGAGTGTATGAACATATCAAATGTTTACTTTCATGTAAAACACCAACAAACTCTTTAACATTTTGTTTTTGTCAAAAATTAACAGTATTTAGTCATTATATTCTAAATGCATCAGTAGGGGGTAAAGTTTAGAGTAAAACGATCAAAAATCCACTCAAAGTAAATTGTGAAGTGTTTAATGAAAAGAGGGGACATCTCCTCTTGTTTTAGGGTCCACTTACTTTATCAAACTTTGTCACTGCTGACCGTCGGAAAATTCCACTGCTTTAAACTGTAAGCTTAAATTAAAAAACTGACAATCAGTGCTTGAATTATTTGTACCTATCTCTCTAAAAATGAATTATTCAAAAATAACTAATAGTCATTGCGAAAATAATAATAGCAATTTGTATTCGTCAGCCGTCAATTTCCATGTAAAATTGTCCCCTGAATCCAAAAATGTCAAAAGTAAAGATAAGTCAATTTTCCATATAATATGCAGCAACTAATAACTGTAGTACCTAGTAATTTTTGACTAATCCATTTTTAGAGAGTAGTCAAATAATTACCCAACTTTTAATAAAAGTAAATGGTAAATATTTGTTTTGATTAGCTTCAATTGTGATGTACCTATTTAATTTGACTTTGAAATCAATTTTTCCCACAAATCAATGATATTTGGTCTTTTTTTATTTATAATTATTTTTGGAATCAAATAACAAACCCTTTACAGGAAAATTAAAAAGCAATTGTTTTGTAAAGTTAATTAAACCTGTATTGCCGAAAAATAAAATTTAAATAGAAATATGAATATTAATAAAAAAACAATTTTTAGAACAAACGTTCTAAATATGTTAAATAAATATTAGAAATAGGTATTTTCCAACACCAAAACAAAACACAAACTGCTTAAAGTACTTTTCCCCAACGATGTTAGCATCTTTGGAAGCAAAGTGTAACTAAATCTAACTTCGCTTCTGAAGATGCCAACATCGGTGGCGAAATGTACCTTTGTGTTTTATTTTGGTATTGGGAAATATTTCTAATATTTGTTCAACATAACACCAAAGTTGTCCTTTTTCAAGTTCTAAATATGTAACAAAAAGTTTCTGGTTTCTTGATACAGACCAATATAAATGCGTTAAATCACAAGATTAAAGTGGCCATTGATCTAAGAAATCTTCTACATTCATTTTTGTCTTTTTCCAGATGATCTTCAAGAAAAACTTCTGGAAGCGATGAATATCTGCATCAAGAATACACCAAAATGTGACCAACTCCAAATCACAGTGCTGCAAATAAATATTTAACCCGCATGTTCAGTGATCAGTGTCTAACCCACAAAATGCACCTAACCAACACGCAAACGACCGGCGGTACCACCACCTCACCAAGCGAGAGTACCAACCTGATAAACGACACGTACACCAAGATGACCAGCGACATCCTCGCGGAAAGAACTTTGAACGACTTCCTCTCGGAACACCCGGGCGAGCTGGTGAGGACCGGAAGTCCGCTTTTCGTGTGCACAGTGTTGCCGCCGCACTGGAGGAGCAACAAGACGCTTCCGGTGGCCTTCAAGGTGGTAGCACTGGGGGACATTGGTGATGGGACCGTGGTGACAGTGCGTGCGGGGAACGACGAGAATTATTGTGCGGAATTGCGGAATTCCTCCGCCATCATGAAGAATCAGGTGGCGAAGTTCAACGATTTGAGATTCGTCGGAAGGAGTGGACGGGGTAATTTTTTTAGTACAATATTAGGTTTAAAAGATGCAAGTAATGAAATATATATCCGACTGCGCCATTAAGAAAAAACATTTAAATGGGTACCCCGGTATCCATTCAGCTTTTTTTCGAGGAGGTTTGCGATTTCGTGACATTTCTAAACTAGGTATTTTCTACGCAATATTATAATTTGTACGATTTTTTAATAAATAATGTCCAAAGTTTTTTCTCACACAAATGATAGTTTAAAATGCTAAATGATATATTTAATAGCTAAACTGAAAACGCAATGGTTATCTAAATCTATATATTTGTATAAAAAGTAAAACAAAATAATACCTTCACTTGTTTATTCGTAAGTAATATAATAAGGGCATCTATTTTTTTCACAGGAAAAATTAGATGCCCGAATGGTATTTGACAAGAATATTTCATGAGTAACAGTTATTCTGCATACACATAGCTTACAAAACATACTACCTATTATACATGCATACATAATAAATATGTAGGTATTAATTTGAAAACTGAAAAACAGGTAATTTATTTAATCACAAAATTCTACAAACTTAATTATTTATGGTACAATTAAAATATAAATTGCAATTTTGGTGACAACAGCTGTCAAGTTTTGCCGCGGGTAAACTCGAAAAAACTGCTGACAGGTGCTGTCATACAGTTTTTCCACCTAGAAACCATTTGTAATTCAAAATTGCGCTTTTTTGATTGGTGGAAATTAAGACGAGGGAAATAGTCAACGGTATAAAGAAACATCTAAACTGGCAATACTAGTCCGCAATCAGCTGATACTTATTTCTTACTTATAAATCGATTGATAAAAAAACATAAAAACAGATATTTTACGTTTAATATCCAAATTAATATAATCTGGGTAACCAGGTACCCACCCCGTCATAAGAAGGTGTGTTTTTTCACAAAAGGGTTAAACAGGTCGATTTAGTTTTTCATTTTGATGTACAATTTTCATACTTTTCTCCATTTTTGTAAAACCTCTGACGTAATCAGCCGTTTTTTAAATTGTACCGCCCGGGCGCGCCCTTTAAAATAAATAATAAAAATTTAAAATCGTATAAAATCTGTAATATTTGGATTTTTTAAATAAAATTTTAAATTTGTCGATATATTATAGTAGATAATAAATTGCACCACTTTAATTTGAATTATATCAAATAGGGGGGCCTGGAGGCGGGTGAGACGACAGGAAAAACTAACTTTTTTTCGCAAACTTCAATTTAAATTCTGTTTGCGCCGAACTTGTCTATTTAATGTCATTATAAACTATTATAAATTTTGAGAGGGTCCCATGTCTAATAACTGAGATATTGGTATGCCCAAAGTCTACCAGCCGCCACTGATTTAAATATGGGCCATTTAACGAAAACAAAGAATAGAAGTTTTAATTCTCCTAGGATGCATCATGTGCCACATGTGGCAATAAAACTAGAACACAACAAGAAGTTTGCAATTTATGCAAAGTATCCAGCTCGACCTATTATTACTTGTTCTACGGTTGGTAAAATTGAACGGAAATTCAGAGAGACTGGACATGTCAAAATATTCCAAAACCTGGCCGTCCGAGTTTAGTGAAGATACTAAAATTGACATTTTTTACGTGTGGAAGAAGATCCTTACAGTGCTTCTAGCATAGTCGCAACTAAAAGTCAAGTCAGCCAAGGCTCAGTATTACGTCTTATGAAGAAAGAATATAAAATTAGACTAGTGCAGGAACTTTACGAAGATGATCCTCACCGTAGACCACTTGTGAAACTATGATGAATTTATGTAACAATATTTTACACTTTCCTCGTAAAACACTTTTTTCGGACGAAGCTACCTTCTGTTTGAATGGTACAGTCGACCGTCAGAATTGTAGGTACTGGAGCAGAGGGTAGTAGAGGCAAATTCCCAATACCGGCAAAAGTGAATATCTGGGCAGGAATGGTGAACAATTGGAGCATAAATCCTTTTTTGACGAGAATATGATAGGACAAACGTATTTGGAATTTTTGCAAAACTCTCTTCTTCCCATATTAGCAGGAATGTTTCCCAATGAGAATGGAGGTCTCGATCTACCAAGTGATACCATTTCGTTTCAACAGGAAGGGGCACCTCCGCATTATGCGTGCCCTGTCCGTACTTTTTACACATGTTTTCCTGAGAGGTGGATTGGCAGACGAGGACCGATAGAGTGGCCAGCGAGACCTCCAGATCTCACCCCTCTCGATTATTTCTTATGGGACTACCTTAAATCAAAGATCTACATCAACAGACCACAAAATTTAGGAGACTTGAAAAATCAAATTCGTAAAGAATGTCGCTTTATTAGTGCGGAAGTCATTCAAAACGTTTTCAGAGAATTTTCGGATAGGCTTGCTTACTGTCAAGTAACCAACTGGGAAATAATTTTCATAATATATAAAATAATTTTTTTTAAATCACAAACTTTTAAATTTAATAATACCCAAAAGGTATACATGTACATATTTCAGAATTCAGAATTTCATAATGTATTCGAATATGCAAAAAGAAAGAAGGGGTACAATTTAAAAAAACGGCTTCTACAAAAATGGCGGCAAATTTGAAAATTTAACATCTAAATCGACGTGTTCAAGGAATTCACTTACTAAGATAAGTTAAATAAAGCTGAGCCTAAACCTTGTGACAACAATGATGTCGCGGGAAATTCGCCAAAAGTGTCAACAGATTATAACAGTTAATCCGTCCGTAAAATAAACTCATAGAGGCAAGCGGGAAGAAATTTGGTTGAAAAAGTGTGCCCGCAAATGACTGGATTTAATTTAAAAATAAAGTTTGAATTGGGATTAGCAATGTTTAACGTTGTATCACGTTTGTTTGCAGAGCTTTATTACTTTTTTCTGATTGTTTGAATTTCATACTTTTGAATAATTTTAAATTCTCGCACGCAGTGGTTAATCAGTGTGTAAGATTGTTAATTCCCTAATGAAGAATATTTCGTTATTAGATAAAATTAATTAATCCACGCTCAAGCATGAAATTCGTAAAATATTTTGCTGGATTATTCATGAAATGGCGTTAATTTCATTATTAAGAATTTTAGAAATTTATTGGGGATGTATAGATACCAAGTACGCAGTAAGGGCTGAAATATTTTGATCTACACAATATATTAGTTGAAGAAGCATTTTCTAAAAACCTTCCACATATTCATTAGATCAAAGTAAGTGCTTTTACCTCGTATTTAAAACTTTACTGAACGATTAATCTTTGTCTTTAATCTGACGGGGTTGAGCCAATTCGGCGTATAATCCAAGAAATTCGTCTTAAAATCCTTCTTGTTGCACGGATCATTTCCAAGATTAGTAGATGATTATTTCGTGAAGCTCACTGGTGTTAATTACCCGTTTCCCTCTCACCGGGTGCTTCACACGGGACTTGGATACAGACTCAAAATTCACTTAAAGGTGAAGGTATTAGATTGTCTTAATTATTTAGCGGATCATTGAGAAGACGAAATATTGTACCGATTCACTACAACAAAATTATACTTACTAAATTAATAATATAAATACAGGGTGTTACCAAATAAGTTGTCATCCGTTATGATTTTTGCATTAGTGCCATTTTTGTAATAAAAAAAATCATTAAAATTTGTATAAGTAAAGGTTGTTCCTGACCTTAGACAACTGACGCAATATATGCTTTCACAGTGTGCAATATTCTACATTTATTAAAAATTTACTATTGTGTTATCATTGATTACTACTATTTTTCTTCGATTTAAAATTTCACCTTTCACTTTGATTGATGCTCATGTAGCTATTTTTTGAAGGGTTCCACTAAATCATAATTAATGTTCAACTATCCCGCCGTTATTATCCACACAAAGTTGACAGCGGAGTAGAAAATTATAATGTGTCGCGCTTGCTATCATATCCGGATGATTACGGATTTCATCTGCAGCTGCAGTGACAATTTCGCGGAGATCTCCGATCGATGTTCTAATGTATCAACTGTGTCAATGTGTCGATGTTCTAATGTGTCAACTTCGCTATTGTACAGTAAACTGTTCATGTGACCCCAGAGAAACCACAATAAAAACCGAACTGTCAGTAATCAATAATAACAAAGTACCTACTAACCGATTTATAATAAGTTTAAAAGTTCGCTTGATATTACATAATACACTATGCGCATGCCTGTTTCTTTTTTGCTTGGATAAATATTATCATTGTTTTTAGAGCTAAAAACAATGATGATATATAGGATAGGTCAGTGACATCCAGTGGCTCCTTGGTTTTGTAAAAAAAAATCATAATTTCTTTATTAAAAACAGTAGTTTTAATGCAAAAATGATAGAGAAAAAACTTTCTTGTTTTGGCGTGTACTACCATCCTCCCAAAGGATCACAATTTATTAGGTGACACCCTGTATTTGTACCTCTGCGCGCATGGGTTTAATTACACGCAAATAACATAATTAATTTATTTAATAAAAGATTTTCCTGCCAATGATGTTATTGTTAATTATATTAATTAAACGATACACCAAATGTATTTCTACCTATAATTGCAATTTGTGGTGGATCATATCTAATGTATTTATTAAATTAAATTTGCTTAGTTAACAAACCATTTTAGCATATTTTAATAATGTGTATGGTTTAATATAAAGTAAATGAACTAAATTTATAAATATTTTATTTTATTTAATACAAATTTTTAACAAAAAAATATAAGTATTCTATTTCCAGTGCGTATAGCTGGTTGTATTTTTCAATAAGACTGATTCCCCGTTCGGCAGTATTATTAAAACAGAACAATTTTAAGGTGGTTCTTTCAGGAATTCTAACTAAAATGTTTCCGTAAATTTATTTAAATGTTTATAGTATAAACTATATACCCAACCGAAAATTAAAAAAAAATGGTGCTAACTGACTAATTAAGATGTTTTTAATTTTTTGTTTATAAACTTGCTTAAAATTCATAAAAAAATACAATAAACATATGAAA